AGGAACTGAGGGAAAATAGCTAGTTTTACACATTTTAGTCTCTCCTCAGTCAAACAGAACAAGTACATAATTCATAGTAAATTAGGTATATTTATTAAGTACTAATGTATGTAACTATAATAAACTGTTTTCCAAGCTTATATGTTGAGTTTTGAAGGAATGAAAATTCAAATAAGGTAGACAAAACATAAACTCAACTAGCTGTGTAACACACATGATCTACCCTAAACTGTCTAAATCAGACACAAACTATGACAAGGAAACTCATTCAACCACAGAGCCAAAATCCACAAAGTAGCACTATAGAATTGTTAGAATTATGCTTTTCTACAGAATAATGTAACAGATTTTCAAAAAAATAAAAAATGACCAAGTTATTTCCAAAAGACTATTTTTTGCTCTAAATGACCTGATTGTTATTTTGCCACACACAAAAAAAAAATTCTGCAAATTCTTGTCAAATTTCACCACTCTTGGCTACAACATTATGACAAATACCTCCCATATACGGAAATTACGTAATATTATTAATACATCCTATAATTGTCTCAACAGAAAGCAGGCTTAGTGAGCCAGTAAGAGGTACTCATATTACATATACTGTTACAGAAAACTGTAGATAAGATGTAAATGTATATTTAACAAAAAAAAACTGATAATATTTTTTTTTGCCTTGCCCTCTCGTAAATTTCGCCGCTAGGGTCCTTCCTAATTAGTTAAGCGAGTCCGTGACACGTGACTGTCACAGCTTGTCGAGTTTATCTTTTGTCTACCTTATTAAGAAAACATGAAAAACAGTGTATTTTCACTATAACTCAGTCAAATCTTGCTCAAATTTAATAATTAAAGTGTCTATTTGAAGCATATTTAAAAAACATGAATTTATGTCAAATAATCACTGAATTCTGTGCAGAATTGAGTGAGAAATAGCTATTTTTTTGTTTTGTTTACTTTTGTGACAAAAAATGATAAATCATCAAGTGTGACAATACTTATGAAAAAGGCAGTAAAAGCAGGGGTCTTACATTTGTGAGTGTGGAAATATTTCAAGTACAGTTCCAGTATATATTCAACACTCTCAAGTATAATAAGTACCTTTTGCTTACTCTTAATACCTATACTTCAGAAATATCATTATTTGTCATTAAGCACAATCTGCTTATATATCTAGAGTATATTCAAGGCAAAATATTTTGAGTATCAGTAGATTTACAAATTCCATCTGGATAAAACTCATTACAAGCTATGTTGCAAGATAACAGTTAAACGTGGTTGGTTAACCAATGTATTTGCGTTCTATACAAAGCACTAAGAACAAACTTTCAAGAAGCACCACTCAGACAGACAGGGTACGGAGGAATCGTTAATTAGAAAAACTAAACAAAGTTGTACAGGGAGAGCAAATTGCACGTGAGGAAATAACCATACATAAGTAACGTCGAAAGAGCTCGAGACGAACAACACAACTACAGAGAGATGCGCAGAGAAAAATACGAGCAGAGTGCGACAGAGATAGAGGATAATAATGCTCATATGCTCATATGGATTCGGATATGCATGTCTAGATCGATGGCTGTTCTAGATGGATGCATGACGAAAATAAGGAAGGAAAAAACACAGGAGGCAGAAAACGGTGAACAGAAAAAAGAGGCAAGATAAATAAAAAAACTGCTGAAAAGACGCTTGATGGGTTAGTTGATTGCTTTGTTTAAAGGTGAAGATGATGGTGTTAGTACACAGCACAGTACATCTCATAATCTGTCAAAGCTGAGAAAAAGTCTTCGTTTCACGTTCAAGAGAAAAAACATGGAGTTAATCAAAAAAAGATAATGATTTCCAGCCAGGGTTGTTTAAGAGTCCCTTCGCTTCATTCGAAGAAAGCGAAAGAGTGAAGAGCAGATGTGTGAGGTGAGCAGGTGGCGCAGTCGTCCCGACAGAAATCTGGATTTTGTATTTCGGACCCTTCAGATGGGCAAGTATATGTGTGTAATCGTCATATTGCTCTCGAATCAGTCGGGGCTTGTCGGACCTTGCAACGAGGCCATCCAAATTCGAGTCTTATAAAGCCTGATACGATAGAAGCGAGGCCGCTCAATCATCGACCTGGCACCAAGAATGTGGAGTAGACAAGACGTACCGGAAAAGCTCGCGCACGAGTTCACGGAAATCAATCCGTTTCTCGGCGATGAAGTAGAATGTCAACTTCCTTCGATCCCTACAAGTTTTTAAAAAATAGCATACAAATGAGCACCGGTCGAGCATCAATCAATCAATGAGAGCTGAGAGAAAAAATACGGGGAGAAAATGCGAAAGAATAGAAGGATAAAATAAAATAAAAGAAATCGAGAGAAAAACCGTACCATTGGTACTCAGCATCAATAACCTCCATCGGCAATTTCTTCTGTTTCACCTTCGTTTGACAAAGTGCAAGCGCCTTCGCTTCATCCTGGTGTTTGGTCACCAGCATCTGCGCATCCTGCGACGTAGCCTTCCCATATATCTTCTTCGGATTAATCTCTTTCTTCCCATGTGGGGGTGGCGGCGGCACAACGGATAAGGATCCATCAGGACTCGTAGGGCCATAGCCCGCATTCTGCTCGTTGAATGCAGCTTGCGCGGCTTGCTGCTGCGCAGCTTGTTGTCTTTGGAATGTTTCCACTTCTGCAGCTGTAATCGTATCATTCACAATCTTTCCTAAGTCCTTCCCCCGATCTGCTTCGACGATGACAAGATCCCCTACACGTAGAGGCGGCATACTTGTTGCGTCCGCAACGTAGAACAAGTCTGTTCTACCAGCTTTGAACTCGACAATGAAGAGCGCCCAGCTATCTGGTACGACATGCAAAGGAATCCCGCGTCCAAGTTCCGAGAGCGATTGTTGCTGTTGCTGAATTGGTGAATGCTGAACACCAGGCGCACCCATACCCATGAATCCTTCGCCTTGCGACGCACGACGCTGCAGGGCCGGTGCACCCGCCAATGTCTGCTGATGCAAGAACTGCTGCATCTGAATCTGCTGTGTAGTATGGACACCACCGGCAGCAGGTCCTCTCGTTGGCGAGAGCGGCATTTGATGCATCTGCATGAACGACTGATTCGGTCCCGCAACACTTCGCGAGAACGTAGGTGACGTCGGGGCGGGCGCAGGCGCATCTTCTGGGATGTACTGAATCCCATGCCCAGGAACATATCGCTGAGCCTGCTGACGATGTATATATGCAGCCGATTCGAGTGCAGGAGAGTGCTCGGGGTTGCGTGGGGGTGAGCCTCCGCTGGAACTGACAGAATATTGGCTCTCGCTAGGCGAGCGCAACATGCGACGGGGCGGTAAATGCTCACCCGAGGGGATACTCAAGCTCTCCGCAAGTGACCCGGATGGGTCATGAGTCGTGCGTGAAAGCGGGGCATAAATCGGGAGAGAAGATGGCTGACTCGGAGGAAGTGAGGAGCGTGACTGTGGTGCATTCAAGTTGAGCATATTGAGGCCGACTGCAAGTTCGTCGTCTGAAATCGCGAGACCTCCTGCTCCTGCTCCCGCAGAAGTAGCATGACCATTACTCCCTGCAAAATAGTGCTGACTCCCGTCATCATGGCTATCCGGTGCATTAAAGCCGACAATCCCGCGACGCGGTTGGACAACACTGACACTATGGCGACGACTTGTCGTCCCGCTTTCACCGCCATTCCCGGCCCAGGCATCCTCATCGAGCATAATGTGTCCGACATCGCGTGCCATCGGCGAGATGTTCGTGAGTTCCGCATTGCTAGTGTTAACACGAAGCCCAGTCGGCGATGGCGAAGCGCCTACAGGAGATCGAGCAAGTGCACCGAGCGAACCATATCGGCTGCCAAGTCCTGATCCAGGTGGCTTAATGTCACCAAATCGTCCAGGGATGCTCAACGGGCCCGTGGTCCATCCCGCGCTCGCAGGTGGACTTCCGATAGGCAACGGCCTCGCTGCAGTCGTCGTTGCAAGGCTCTGTGACCGACTGCGTGTATCGCCTGCAAGGAAGTGGCGTCCTCGAAGCTGAGTAGATGAATCGGAAAACGTGTACTCCCCTGTCGCGTCGGACAGCACCTCAGATTCATCGTCCTCGAACGTAGATGGGAAGGAATGAGATTCGCGGATTGCATTCGCGAAGTTACTACCACTACCATAGCCAATGCGCTCAGAGAAGGAAGAACTGCGCGGTAGCGATGAGGGGATGCCAACGGACGTGCTTGCACTACGGCCCAGAGACGGACCGCGACCTTGTCCGCTCGCAGACATCATCCATGGTGAAACCTGTCCTGGACCGAGCGTCCCGCCGGAACCATTATCATTCCCATTTCCGTTCCGTCCACCAGGACTACCGTATATCTGCATTGCTGGTGTCGAGTAGAACCCTTCTCCGTTTGTTGTCGGCGGCTGACTTGCCGAGCGCGGCGTGTCTGCACCCCCGCCTGAAAACGAGAAACGGTTCTTCCGCTCGCGCTCCTCGCTCGATAGTTGATGTTCCATAAGCGAGGCCGTGGGCAGCCCGATGCTTTGCAGTTGTCTGTATGCTTGAGGGGACGCCAGCGTTGTAAAAATACTATAAAATTTCCACTCTTCTCTATTCCTGTCGTGTGTTCGTGTATGTATGTCTAGAAGCGAGAAGGCCATTAGCAATACAGACTTCTCATCTCGATGGAAGTCGAGAAGAATTGGAATTGCACAGGAATAGTAGGTGTTATAAGATCAGGCACTAGTTGGCATCTAGACTCGCATTCTGCCACATAGTCACTCCCATGCGTCGAGAAAGAGGGTTCTCCATGCGGCATATTGGAAAGACGAGCAACAAGGCATTCAGGCTAGGAAAAAGAGGCGCATACGTACAGATTGCACCCAAGGACCTACCCTCCGACCCCCAAATAACAAGAAATTTAGACGACTACCCGTATACCTTTGAAACCCTTTAAACTAAGAGGAGAAACGGCATTGCACTTCAGGCATGATGCGACTAGATATTACGGTGACACAACACACCTGGATATATGAAAGAAAAAAATTTCCACCGACTGCGTGCCTATGCACGCGTGACTAAATGCGCTTTAAAGTCCGAGCTCGCTTCCACTAGGTAACTCTCCCAAGCAAGAATTGGTTATGACTTGATTCACCCGAATCCGTCCTCGCAGGTGGCACACGGCTTGTCCAAGAAGGTCGCCTCAAAAGAGCGTCTCTATGCAGACATCGAGACACTCAGACTAAGGACGAGGGTAGGTACAGAAGACGACGACACACACACGGACGTTCAAACGCAAGGAGCGTAAGGAGTTGGAGAAAAAAGTCCGCAGCTGATCACAGCAAAGGTCTTAGAAATGCACGCGCGTCTTGTCTAGCCGAGACGGGGCTGGTGAAGATTAGGGATACAAGAAGAAAAGTATAAGAGAAAGAGAGAGAAGAACGGTCTAAATGTCTAGGAGGGCGTGTCGGTGTCGGCTGGTGATGGAGTGGGAGTAGTAAGTAGCAAGAGGAAGAGGACGGAGAGGAATGCGCTGGGACTGAGTTGCATTCTACGGGACGAGGCAGGTGACCCGTATAACCGCGGCCGCCCCTGCATCTGTCTGCCATGCCCTTCGGTCGGCTCATATATCTAGTCACACGCTGCGAATCTCTATTCAGTCATCTCTAAACTCTACCTATGCACTCAATATCCTAGACACACCCTAGTCCATATTCTACTCAAGCTACGTGCATAAATCTGTCGCTCTGACGCATATATGCGTCTCTGCTCACCTAACCAACAGGCAATAACAATCACGACCCACGAAACACTCGGCATCAGTGGAAACGAAATGGAATGACAATGAGTCACAGAAACGTAGGATACTGTATACATACGGCTAACACCGAGAGAGAGATGGTGGGCAACGAAGGCCCTTCCGCCGAGGCTGTTGCCATATATGGGCATATGTCTGATGTCAGAACGCACTTCAGATCGTTCAGATGATCCTCTGATTCCTCAATTCTCGAAAATTCTCTCTCCCATCGCACCTTGCGTTTACACGCTACCCTCAAAGTAAAATATCAGTGAAGGTTCAGACACGTAAAAAGCTTAAGAAACCTGTACCGCCAACCTTGGTTTTTCTTCTCACTCACCATTCAAGCACTCTGTCTTCAATAGGAGTTTCCGCACCTGGTTTGTCGTTGGTCACATTGCATCGCACGAAGGAGGCATTGATCCGAGGCCCAGAAGCCACAAAGGCTGCACCCTATTCGATGCACTAAAATCAGAAGAGAGGGTAAAGAAAGCGTGGAATGGATGTCGTCATACATGTATAAAGTATTAAATAGCTAACCAATGTACATGCACATCTCCCTCCTTCCAATTCAAACCACTGATCGCTTGCACTTAGAATCCGAAACTTACTGTAAGCTTCCTCTTCACCCTCTAATCTTAACGACACATATGATCTCTGTCTGACCTTTTCTTGTGCCCAGGCTTCTGATCAATCTCTGTGTGTCCGAGTTCTGCAACTTGAGGTGCATCTGAGTAGACAATATAGGAGTAGAAGTAAGGATGTAAAAAGTCCTTCATATTGTTGAAGGCTACCACTTAGACAATTCAATTGAAAGAAGTCTGTACTGGATGAGTCACAAGACAGTTAAGGTTGTATACATGTATGCTCAAGTTCTACAACCTACTTTAGTAAACTAGTAAATCAATATAATACTATAATTCCTTTCTTACAAGATGACTGTAATATTAATACAAGTACAAGGAACTTTGAAAGTTGTTGAACTAGGTCTCTATTGTATTTAGTCTGTTTTATAAATTTTGAAAATAGAACAATTATAGTAAGGTTTTAGACACAAATCAAATATACTAAGAAAGTTTAATTAGAAGTTGTTAGGATTGTAGGATTGGACCTATTTCATTTTCTTTACATCTCTATCAGTTTTGTGAAAAACTAACATTACTACTAGATTTTCATAATCCTTAACAACTTATCTATTGTTCTACAAAGTTTTATAAAGATTGTATTAGTATTAAGTACAGGAGAGAGTTACAGAGATATAAGGTAGTGTGTACAATTATAATACACACAATTAATCCATTTCTTACTTAATATAGTAACTTGTACCTCTTTTATGTAATGGTCTCTTAGCTTATATTCTTTAATGTGTAATACTCTGTTAATTCTTCCTAGCCTCTAATACACTTGTTAGTTTTACAATATTTGTTCTTATTATTTCTTTAATCTTATTCTCAAGTTTCATTCCTTACTTTACTCTTATTATTTAGTTATTATAAAAAGTAGTTTATAAATACAGTAGTTCCTTAGTTTTTTAACTCTTCTTATATTCCTACTTGTTCTCCTAGTATAAATTCTAGCTAGTAGTTTTAGAAATATAGTTAGTTTAAGGACTGTAAGTCTACATTTACAGTTTAAGAGTACTATCAACTTAGAGAATATATCTTCTCTAATATAAGAGTTAAAAAACTTATCTCTACCTTAATACTACTTTTAGTTTAAGCTACTACTTAATTAATATTCTTCTAGTTTAAGCTACTACTCAACTATCCTCTTTATCTAATCCTACTCTCTTTTAAGTCTAAACTACTATTTAATTTATTTCCTATATATAGTTAGAGCTACTACTTGACTATTACAGTTCTTTACTCTTACACTTTCAGTTTTAAGAGTTCTACACTCTTCTGTACTAGAACTTAGGACTTTTGTTCCTTAGAAGTACTATTTATAAATTATATGTAAACTAACTCTTACTATTACTCCTCCTTACTTTATTATTCTGTTCCTTTAACTACCCTTTTATTCTTTGTTTATTCTATAGTCTCTTACTCTTTATTTATCCCTTTATTCTTTGTACCTTTATCTTTAACCTTTCTTTCTTTTATTCTTTGTAACTCATTATTCTTAGTAGTTTATATTCTTTAAGTACTCTTATATAGTTTAGTATATATAAGTATACAAGATTAGACTAGTCTTATAGTCTTAATCTTGTCTACTCAGGATAGTTCTATACTCTTAAACTTACTTTATATACTCTACTCTTATCTTACTCTCTCTCTTTATCTGTTTTATAAGTTCTGACTATGTTTTAGTACTTGTGTTCTGTATTTTTATTGTGTAAAATAGTTATAGTTTAAGCTTTCTTACTAAGCTTTCAGATCCTCTCTATACTATTACTAACATTAGACTAAGACTATCTATTACTATCTTACAACTCTCTTACATTTTAAGTATTAGTATGTACTATTATGTTAATCTCTTTTCTTTATCTTAACTCTTTTACATTTTTAAATTTTAAACTTTCTAAACCCTTTTAAACTTTTACTACCCTTCTTCTATTTATTATCCCTTTTAGTTTAGTGTCAATTCCTTTATAGTATAAATATAGACTCTTTTATACTAACTATTACCTTTACTATTCTACTAGATTAGTAGTTATAAGTAAACCTAACTTAATATATATAGATTTTTATTTAAAAGGCCTTTACTAACTATATATACTCTTAGCCCTCTAAGAACCTGTTCTAATTGTTCTAAAAGTTGTAACCTGTTTTAGAAAGAAAGTATATATAGTTTACTCTTTAAACTTTAATAAGTAGTACTTTAAAGACTTCTAATACTAAGTTAAACTATATATAGTTACTATTTTAACTAATCTATTCTTAGACTTTAATTGTGTCTTATTTGTCCTCTCCTTTATAAAGGAAGGTAACACAACTACTTAAGTCTAGAACTAAATTAAAGACTATTAAATTAGAAGTCTGATCTGACTTTAGAATAATAAGTTGTATTTAGAATTTATAAAACAGTTCTGTACTTTCTTTATTAATCTAAATAAAAAGTATAATATACAAAACAAGCTTATATCTTTATAATACAAACATTTTACTAATACCTTCTTTTAGAAGTTTAATATTCTAGTCTAAAAGGTAGGATTTATACTTAGGTTTAATAATGTTTTTATTAGAATACTTGAAAAAGCTCTTTACTTAGAACTAGTTAATAAGATTCTTAGAATAATACTAGAACTAATTACTTATTCTAATTAGAAGACATACACTATTTTCTTTAACTAAGCTGTAACTTAAATGTATTAAGTTTGTATAAAACACTTATATATATACTTAACTCTAACAGTTCTAAACTCTTAAATTAATCTGTTTGTAATTTATAATTAATCTGTTTTAATAAACATTAAAGAAGTCTAAAAGTAAGGAGTATACTTTATTTATAAAAAGTTAGAGTATTAGATTAAGGACTGTTTATAAAAGTAATAGTATATTTGTTAAGTTATTAGAGTAATAATAAGTAACAAGTAGGATTTATAGTAAGAAGCCTTTTTTATAAATTTAAAAGTCTCTTTAGAACTCTTAAACTCTAACTATATACTCTAGAATTTGGTAAAGACTTAATAGTAAATATAGTACTAAAGGGTTATAATTTGAATTTTTTAACAGTTACTTTTGACTTAATAGACACTATAAGATTAGAAGTAAATAAAGTAAGGTAAGGAAAGTATAAACTCAACATAGTATAATATAACAGACTAACCTAATTTGAATACAAACAATAATGGTGAAATACAATACTTAGTATTCTAAAAATGCAAATTTGAGCTATATAAATATATTCAGCTTAATCTAACCTACAAAAGTATGTTTTTGATTTTTTAAAATATTAAGATTTGAGTAAGTTATTTTTTTTAAAAAAAAACTTATTTTTTTAGTACTAAATGTATAGAAATACAATTTAGTAAAATTTTGAATTTTTTCCTAAAGATTTTTACCACTTTAGTTAAATATCTATTATATAATTATTTCCTTATATAGAACACGTGCCTGATGAGTAATATACATTTGATTAGTAAATATTAACTATTTAGACCTCTTATTTTCTGTTCTGTTTATAATACCTTAGTAAAAGAAAAGGGATAAAGTTAGAATACAGAATCTGAGAAGTAATAAACCTGTAAGATATACTTAAGACTGAGTAATAAACAATATAGCTTACTAAGAAATAGGCTACAAGTTCAAGCCAAATCTTATAAACTGACAATAAGGAAGAGTTTAACACTTTAGGTTTTAGAGAGAATGTAAAGACTGTTGTTCTAATTGAGTCTAATAAATTAATAGACAGTACTAGAGTTATACTAAATTCTATCACTAGATAATACCTACCCTACTATTAAAGCTCAAATGGAAAAGTATGTTCAAACATACTTTAATTCTATTCCTCTTAATTTCTTTTAAAAGTAAGTACTTTAAATCTTTCTTTCTTACAAAATTAATTTTATTATATGTTTTATAAGTATTATAACTAGTCTGCTCAGTTTATGAATGTATATAGAAAGGGGTTGACAGGAGTACAGACTCAATAGGCAAATAAGAAATACTATAACTATAGAATTCTTCTAGCTAGTATTTTAACTAAGTTGTAAAACTATAATTTATATTTTTTTTTGTATTTACAAGTGTTAAAA